ATCCAATGTGCAAGAGACTGCTTACACTATTGAAATATGGAGAACTAAAGAGGAAAATATTCCCAATAGACTACTTAAGTTAAGGCTTTTTGATTGGCAGGTCTTCCAAAGTCCCATACACTAAAATATTTAATGGAATGTAGTTCCATAATTCCATCCATGTAGGAGCTCCCATCCGCTAAGCAGAACAAATTATTGATTTTTGCATAATAAGTCAAATATGCATAAATTATTCTTAATTATATAAAACCAGATGCTAAATTTAGGTGTCATAGGAAAAGTCATTTCCCTTATCAGCCAGGAGGAGCAAAGGATAATATAAGTAACTGCAAGAATCCAAAAGGGTGAATTATTTTCCCAAATGAAGGAAAATGACTTTTAAAAAAAAAAAAAAAACAAACAGTCTTCTAACAAAAATACCCACAAGACAGTACACCTGACCGTGAACCAGAACAATTAAGTAAGATAAATTTAGGCAAATGGTGAAGCATCTATTAAATAGCCAGCAGGAGTGTTTAAATAACTTAAAAAAGGACATATTATAACTGAAACTTTCAAACTTGTCTAAAGCTTTACTCATATTAGGCTTCTATGTTATACCAATTCCACTATAAAGTAAAAAAGTATTCAACTAGCTTCCCCAAATCCACATCTAAAGTCATTACATTGCTAGTAGTTATTCCCAATTATCACATGGCAAGGAAATGAAATCTTAAAGAAAAGTACAGTTATTATCATTTCTAGATGGTCATTATATTTTTTTTCATTACACAAAGTGTATAAACTAATCTTTTAAAGGAATAGCACAAAATATTGGATTTCATCAAAGTGAACAACGGCATACATGATGCTGGCACACATTCAATCTCCTGGGGCAAACTAATTCAAATGTGGATTTGTGGTAAAGCCTAACAAAGCTCTTGACCTCACAATTTTAAGAATATAGTGATGAAAATCACTGCACACATTTTTACCTTGAACCAAAAAGAGCCAAACAAACCTGAAATGGAGCATTTCGTTCCAGCTCCATTCTGGACCTTTCTGTTTGATTTGGATGGAATATAATTGCAGGTCTCATGTGGCAGTTTCAAGCATTTCAACAAAATCACATGGAAAACAATCATGAAGAGCTAGAAAGTGACTAGGATGTGCAAAAATAGTGCTATGGCTGGTTACCAAACGTGTGACAGATTTTCCTCTTATTCTAGGGATCTGTGCAATGGTAAAAGGTAGTAGATGAGAATTGGCCTATGCTTTCAGAAAGCCTGTTGAATTCAAATTCAAACACAGAAAACAGGGTGTGATTAATTTATGGGAACTTACAAGAGGTAAAAAAATAATTTTATACTATATCCGTGATTTGATTTGCAAGACTTTTATTTACCTATTAATTTTCAAGAATACAGGTGTACAAGGTAAAATTTAGTTCTCTCAGTAGGAGCACTGTAAAAACTCTGGCCAAAGCAAACCATTGTATGCAAACCAATAAAAAGAAATTTTAAAAAAGAAATAAGATGGTGGAAATGCAAAGAGTCACTTTACAAAAAAGAACTGGTCAACACTGAAATGTTTCCAGAAGAAGAAAAAAAACAAAACACAAAAACCTTGGCCAAGTAAAATGATGGAGCCCCAAAATGCTATGATCTACTTTAAATATATTCTGACCTACTCTCAATTAACTCAAAGGCATACTTTAAATAACTGGAAAATTGTCAAATTTTAATCTGAAAAATACTTGCAACAAGTCAATGGAACAAGCTGCAAAATAATACTTCTAACCTTTAAAAGTCAGGAAATACTAAAAAATCAAGTTTAACGTAATGTTGTTGCCATATTTTCAAGGTCTTGTTAGAAACGGGATAGATGAACAGGGTTTGCAAGATCTAAAAAAAAGGAAAGCGTCCTGTAGAACCTTAGGTTTCTCTTTGCACCAGGTAATCAAGAACATGTTGATCATCATCTTAACAAATATTGACTTGACTCTTATATCTTCCATTTTTTCCTCATGACTTTGGTGAGGGAGACACCATTTTGGAAGCTGGGAAAGCAAGTCACTTCTTTCATGAAGTTTAGCTCAACTCTACCAATCATTTCGTTCTAATCACCATTTGTTTGCCTGACTTCCTAGTCAGTCTTCCTCCTCCTCCTGCCCACCCTGAAACCCCATCCAAGCTCAACTTTCTCTAGTTAATCCATATTAGGAGCATTTATAAGGCAAGGCCAGAATCTTAATTGTACCTTTGCATTCCATGAGGCACATAATAGATGTTTAGGGGTGAATAAGGAAAGAATCTGTAGAATGTAATCTAGCAGGTAAGAGATGTGCATAGTAGAAAAATGCAGATTTTCTGGCTCACCTCTCTTAGCAGTATATGACACAATAGCATCAGTAGGGTTGATGTGACCCAGTATAGTCAAGGACTTTCTTCCAGACCAGATCAATTAGATTACTCCATAATGCTTACTGTCAATATATGCATGATATAGTTATAAACTGCATAAATATAATATTTCCTTTAAGAATATTAACAACAAAATGGGGAGCTCTGGTAGCTTAGTGCATAAGGAGTTGTGCTGCCAACCCAAAGGCAGGTGGTTCAAATCCACCAGCTGCTCCAGGAGAGGAAGATCGTCTATCTCCGCCTATTTGATTAACAGCTTCTGAAAACTCACTACAGGGTCAGCTATGAGTCTGTTCCGACTAGAGGGCAGTGACTCATATGTTGCTGAACAACAGTGGCATCCACTTCCTAAATAGCTTGCCTCTGGAAATCCTATGAACCTGGAGAAAGGATGAAAGTTATACAAGTGTTCAGGTCTTTCGTTCATAGGGTCGCTATGAGTCATCTATGACTTGATGGCACTTAACAACAACAGCATAGAGACTCTGATCAGTTGGCCTAGTGGACAGAAAGTGATGCTCCCAAGCCAAAGGTGGGTGACTTTAATCCGCGGTCCTCAAGCCTGTTTTTAATTGTTTTTGGTCAAACATTCATCTAGGTCGTATAGCCCTGGTCTGTCCACTTGCTGTACAGAGGTAACTCATGGTTGCTGTGAAGCTGAACACTGTGACACTGATGTGTCAACTGCGATAATGGTTACCCATGGTGCACAGTGTTTGGTGGAGCACCCCAATTAAAACAAACTTAGAAGCAGGAGTGGCATCCACTTCCGAAATAGCTTGCTTCTAGAAACCCGATGAACCTGGAGAAAGGATGAAAGTTATACAAGCGTTTAGGTCTTTTCTTCATAGGGTCACTATGAATCGCCTACAACTCGAAGGCACTTAACAAGAACAACGTATCAAATGAGATGGATTGATTCAGTGACTGGTGTAATGGAGGTAGGTGTGTTAGAGACAAGAAGATCCACACAGGATATAGCAGGGTTTAAGGCTGCTGTACACAGGGTTGCTATGAGTCGCAGGTGACTCAACGGCACATAACAACAACAACATATCGAATCACAATGTTACTAGCTGAAGCCCTTTTTGATCTTTTCTCCTTTTCCTTTAATTATTAATTCATATGATCTCAAAACAACTACTGATATGTGTTCATAAATACTAATTACCACAATACTGTAGCTAAAACACTAGAAAGTTGGGCAAAATCAGCACTGGCAGCTCAACAAAACAATAGCCCTTGCTTGTAGTTATGTGCAGATGAAAACCATGTGGTGCGAAGCTATTAATTAATTGGATAATAATGTCATCTCTGACCTGAGCTCATTAGTGGGTTCAAAAAGTAGATTAGCATAGGGTTTTTAGCCTTGTAGGCATTATTGATACATGTAAGCTGGGCTTACGAATATTTTTGTTGTTATAACTAACCACAGGACATTTAATTTTTATAAAAAATAATTAATTCCTGCTGAAACAATACACAACAATCTTACGGGCCTTTTTATTTATTTCACATCCTCACCCCACAATATCATCTAATGCTGCCTCTACTCCCCTTCCTGATGTCACTGCTTCACACTGGCTAAATGATGTCTGCTCCACCATTTCAAGGCCAGAACACCAAACTAGAAATGGTTACAAAAAATGAGCTCTTTTGAATCCTAACATCCAGAAGTTTGAATGCTTCACTCAAGATGAATCGTCTCAGAATAGCATCCTCAGAAGGCTTTAAACACTTGGTCAAGCAACAATTCTTGGTGGGTTTTTTGTTCTGCTTTGGTCTCCCCGCCCCCCCAATAGAAAAACTGTGGGCAGGATGATGGGCTAGGCAGGAACTGTGAAACTTTATTTATTGGCTTTGCCTAGAAATCAGGGCTTTGAAAGGAGGGACAACGTCAGACATGGAGTAAGGAAATTAATTCCGATGTTGTTAAGAGCCTTATAGCCTTTATTACAGGGACTGAAAACTTGGGAACAAAGTAAAAGATGCTGAATAGGGAGAAGTCCTCTGCCCCTCTCTCTCCCTCCCTCTCCCCCTCTCTCTCTCTCTCCCTCTCTCACACACACACACACACACACACACACACTCACTCTCTCACTCTTCTCATCGCCAACTCTTTAATTTCTTATTTGAAGCCCATACTCAGGATCTGGCTAGGGCTCCTCCTTAATCACCTCAACGCCTCCCCGTCCACTCCCCCATACACTTACGCTTCGCACAGGGCTGGCTATATTAGCATAGGCTTTTTGTTTTGCTTTTTAAAGTTAAGTTTACCACAGTCGACTGACACCTTTCACCAGCCTTAAAGAGACTCATCAGAGTCTAACTCTTACCACCAATCCCTCTGCCTTCCCTCCTACCCCACCCCCTCTCCAGTGGAAGCAAAAGGGCGGGTACCCATTTCTCCCTTTGGCCCCCGAAAAAACCCCTCTCCCCTTGTCAGCCCCACCCAAAGGAGGAACCGCTGTCCAGTGACTCAATGGGGGCAATGGAATGGTGGTTTAGAGTCAGGTGCGGTGGCGTTGAGTAACTGTTTTTCTCCCCACCCATTAACGGCGGACAGTGCCCGGGACAGGTGGAGTGGCCACAGCTTACCTGTGATCCCTCCTCCGCCTTCCTCCCCGTAGCCCCGGCGCCTTTGCAGCACGAAGTAGTCGTTGGACCTTTCCATCAGCCACAGCTTCAGGGCATTTTTCAGGAGCACTTCCTCGGGCTTCAGCCACATCGTGAAGAAGTTTGTGCCCCCCTGGAGGAGCAACCTAAATGTCCTCCTTACCTCACGTTCCACCCGTGTCTTCTTCTCTACTTCTCCTCCCACCAAACCTTCCTCCGGCAGTAGCGGCTCAGGTTCAGATTCTCCACACTTCCCCCCAGCCCTCCCTTCTCTCCCACGTAGGCAGACAGACTGCCAATTCCCTCCCACAGCACTAACCGCCCGACTGGGAAATAGTCCCGCTTCTTCACCTCTTGGGACTTGTAGTTTCTGACCCTCCTTGTCTGTATTCGCGCCACCGTAGCCACAGACTACATTTCCCACAATGCACCGGCTCGAGGACCAGGTGGGGTGCTTTCAAAGCAGGTCCCGCCACTAGTTAAGTGCACTTGCTTATCCAAAGTTTAAAGAGGTTTATTATTGTTCAGGTAAGCGTTAGCCCCAGGTTTAAAAGGGGTGCTTTCCCGTCCTTTTACAGCTGAGGGTGCTAAATTGAAAACAAAAACAAAAACACAAACCCCAAACACCCAAACCAAAACCCAAAAATCTCAACCCACCCAAACCCAGAAGTTTCTGGGATTTTTAATGAACAGGACGCATTTTAAGGAACCGCAGCATGGACGTTTAGTGAGCACTTACTATGTACTAAGACGATTTCTTGTATGATCTTCAAAGAAGTCTTATGAAGTAGATATTATTCCTCACTTTGCACATTAGTAAACGAAAGCATAAACGAGTAAGATGACTTCTCTAACGTTAAATAATTAAATTTATTTTATTCCTTTTCTAATTCTGAAATTCTTGGCTATATTTAGCATTTTTTACTTATACTTTCTCCAAAAGCTAGTTTCCTTTAAGCCCTGCATCTCTCCCCTCCCCCCTTCACTGCCCCTATTACTATTGTAATAAGTCCTAAGAATTTTTTTATCCTGCTTTTCTTTTTCTAGACCTAAACATTGCACCACCACCCCAGTATTACCAAACCCAAATTTATTTTAATGACGTTTCACTGTCAAGGTGTATCAAAACTTCATAGCTTAGTAAGAGTCCTAGTTTTCTGGGACAGCATACAATTAATTCGTCGCCTTTCTTACCTGGCCCCCAACAATTCATCCAGTCTAAAGCACACAGATTCAGAAAAGCCAAGAGTTAACTCCTCAATCAGGTTGCTCCTCTGGCTCATGAATTTTCTTTCAAAAGAGAGAAGCAAAAATATTTCAGACATGTGGCAAAGTTAACAGCAGAGTTCCAGCTTAGGTTTATGTAAAATACAGCAAAACAAAATAAAACTCACTTGAGATAGATTACTTCTATACAGCTTTATGAAAATAGAAAAAAAAATAAAATAGCAGAGAACAAAAAAAAATAATGAAGATTTTTCAAGTGAGAATTCATTTGATAGCCAAGAATTTCTTGGAAAATAACAGCAGCTCCAGCTCTAAAATTGGAAAGGTCTTGACTAAGCAGCCTGAACAATGTATTTGTCATATGTGAATAAAAACAGTCTGAAGACTAGCACTTCTCTTTTTTATGTACAATATTTATAATTTTTTCATTGCTGAACATTTTCTTCCCCCAATCTTCTCCCCTAACCCTCCCCATAATGTACCCCTTGTTTCAGATTGTTCTCATACATATAATGCCTTATCATATATTCCTTTCAGACAGTTCTTCCCCTCATCTGTTCTAATGCGGTTTTCCTTTTTTATCCACTCTTTACTCATTCTTTCCCCAAATGTCTGTTCTATTTTATAAAAGTGATGTTATGCAGTGTTTATCCTTTTGTGACTGAGATATTTCACTCAGCATAATGTCCTCCAGGCTTCCTCAAGTTGTGTAATGTTTTATGAGTTCACTGGTTTTCAGTGCTGTGTAATATTCATACATATACATGGTTTTCCACCTATTTATTCATGGGCACTTGGGTTTCTTCCGTCTCTTTGCTATTGTAAATAATGGAACAATAAACATGAGTGTGTATACATCTGTTTGAAACATATTTCTGATTTGTTTAGGGTATATTGTTGATAGTGGACCTGTTGGGTCAAATGGTATTTCAATTTCCAAATTTTTGAGAAAGTAACAGACTGCCTTCCATATTGGCTTTACTATTTTATATTCCCACCAACAGTGAATAAGTGTTCCAATCTCTCTACACCCTCACTAGCATGTTGTTTGCTGCCCTGTTGAACTTGGCTATTGTTACTGGGGTGAGATGATATCTCATAGTCGTTTTGATTTGCATCTCTCTTAGGACTAGAGATTTTGAACATTTCTTCATGTGTTTGTTTGCTATCTTTGTTTGTTTGTTTGTTTGTCCTCTTTGGTGACGTGTCTATTCATATCCTGTGTCCATTTTGTGATTGTTTACCTTTTTCTTCTTGAGGTGCTGGAGTGTTCTATAAATTTTAGATATAAGTCACTTATCAGCTATATTATTGCCAATTAGGTTTCCCCAGTCTGTGGGTTTCCTTCTTAACCTGTTAGAGAAATGTTTTGATGTGCATAGGAATTTGATTCTTAGAAGGCCTCATTTATCTATTTTATTCTCTCCTGGTTATTGGTTTGTCATTGTGCTTGGAAGACTATTCATGCTGTGGATTAGGGCTTCTAGAGTTCTTTCTAGCTTTTCTCTGATGAATTTTAGTCTTTGGTTTTACTTCTAGGTCCCTGATCCACACTGAGTTGGTTGGTTATTATATTTAAGTGTTTTTACTATGACTCATAGTAACCCTATGAAGAATGGATCTGAACTTTGTCCTATCCTGTGGCATCCTCATCATTGATATACTTGAGCCCATTGATACTGTCACTTTGATAATCCATCTCGTAGAAGATCTTCCTCTTTTTTTAATGACACTCTGCCTGTCCAAGCATGATGTCCTTTTTTATAAGGACTGATCCCTCTTAACAATATGCTCAAAGTATGTGAGACGACATAGTATAAAAAACACAGCTCGGTGTGTAGTTGTGGTGGCTAATTTAACCCCCTACATATTCTGCTATAGGGTCATAAGCCTTGACCAAGTATATTATTATTGTGCACCATTGAGTTGAAACAAATCATAGCTAACCCTCTAGCAAGTTTTCAGAGGCTGTACATCGCATGGGAGGGAACTCTGCTGCCTTAATGGCAAGAAGTTGAGTTGTCAACCCAAAGGGGTGAAGTTTGAGTCCACCAAGGCTCCACAGGAGAATGATGAGCAATCTCCTACCTGTGAGTGATTCACAACCTCTGAAAACCCCCAGGAGAGTCAGCTATGAGTCAGTTCAACTGGAAGGCCCATAACAACAACAATTTCCTCCCATGTGATGTGTTGTTACTGTTCTAGTCACTTTTGAGTAATCTTCAGCATGATTTTGCTTTAATGTGACATTAATGATATTGTTCAACAATTTCAACATTCTGTTGGATCAACATGGGAATAAATATGGACTTTGTCTAGTCAATTGGCCAGGTTGTTGGCCTTCAGATTTCTTGGCACAATCTGGTGAGTACATCTAGGCCTGCATCTTTTGAAATATGTTAGTTGATATTCCATCAATTCCTTCAGAGTAGCTTGAATGCCCTTCTTTATTACTATTGATTCTTAATCATATGCTACTTCCTGAAAGGTTCTGTGTCAGCCAATTATTTTTGGTACAATGACTTTATGTATTCCTTCCATCTTCTTTTGGTGCTTCCTGGATAATTCAAGATTTTGCCCATAGCATCTTTTAGTATTGCAACTAGAGGCTTGAATTTATGCCTCAGTTCTTTTGTTATGAGGAATGGAAATCAAGTTCTTCCCTTTTGATTTTGTGACTTCAGCTCTTTGCACATTTCATTATAATACTTTGCGTTGTCTTCACAAGCTTGCCTTTGAAACCTTCTGTTCTTAACTTCACCATTTCTTCCCTTTGTTTTAGCTTCTCAGGATTCTAGTAAAATATTCAGAATCTCTTCTGACATCCTTTTTTTTTCTTTTTGAGAGTAAAATAGTAATTTTATTAGGAACTTACATCCCCAATTGGACAGATTTCCCTCCCTAAAAGGAGACATAGAAGGAAGACCCTAACATCTATTTTTTTCTTTTCTTCCTCCTTCATCTTTGTAATGACCTTTTCTTGATGGATGATATTCTTCCACAGCTTATCTGGTAATTGTTTATTAGTGTTCAAGGCCTCAAACTTGTTCTTCAGATGGTTTTTAAATTCAAGTGGGATACACTCAAGATTATACGTTTAATATAATACAGGCATATTACATTCCACTGAGTCAGAACCAACTCATAGCTGACCTTCCAATGAATTTTCAATGGTAGTAAATCACATGGGAGGAGATTTATCTATCTTTCTCCTAAGGAGTAAATGGTGAATTCAAACCATATGCCCTTTGATTGGTAGCACAACTCCTTACCTCTAAGACACTAGTTGTTGCTGTTGTTTTGTGTCAACACGTTGCCTGCAACTCATAGCAACTCTATACACAATAGCTCTGAACTCTACTCTGCATTGAGCCAGTCAGTGAGACTCCAACACACCATTGCCCCAGTTATCATATCAATCCATGTCATCCAGGGTCTTCTTCTGCTGTGCTGTCCCTCCACCCATTTAAGCATGATGTCCTTAAGGAGTGTTTCCCTCCTGGTCACATGCCCAAGTATGTGAGACTGAGCTTCAAAATCCTTGCCTCCAAGGAGAAGTCTGGTTTTACCCTCTCCAGGACAGACCTGTTTGTTTTCTTTGCAGTTGATGTTTTGTTCAATACTCTTCTTCAGCACCACAACTCAAAGGCATCAATTCTTCTGCCAGCCCCAGTCATTCTCTCTGATGCATAGCAAGAAATTGCAAAGACCATGGCCTGAAGTAGGCACACCATAATAACCAGGCATCGTTTCTTTTTATCACTTTGGGAAGATTCATGACAGCAGATTTCCCCAGTGAAATTTGTCTTTTGATTTCTTGACTGCTGATGCCAAGAGTGGTGATTGTGGAACTAAGCAAGCTGAAATTGTTGACAAGCTTAATCTCTTCTCTAGCTATCATGGTGCTGCCAATTGGCCCAGTAGTCAGAATTTTTGTCTTCTTGGTGTTGAGCTTCAATACACATTGAAGACTACAGATCTTGACCATCCGCAGCAAGTGCTTCAGGTCCTCCTCAGCTTCGGTAAACAAAGTTGTGTCATTTGCACA